CTTCTCCTTCAGCGGCATCAACACCAACATTATCTCCCTCTACTCCGCCGCCATCTCTTTCCAGCAGATGGCCCGCCCCCTCGCCAAAATCCCCCGATTCCTCTGGACGTTTCTCTGCTTCGCTGTTGTCGTTGGGCTGGCCGTCGGCGGCCGCAGCCAGTTGAACACCTACCTGCAAAATTTCCTCAGCTTGTTGGGTTACTGGTGCACAAGCTACTTCGTGATCCTGCTGATGGAACACACCATCTTCCGACGTGGAGACTTTGCCAACTACGATCTCGAAGGTTGGAACGACCCGAGCCGCTTACCCCTTGGCATCGGGGCTAGCGTTGCCTTCCTGGTTGGGGTGGTCGCTTGGTGCATGGGCATGGTTGAGACCTGGTTTGTGGGACCTCTTGGCGGGCTGATTGGCGAATCTGGGGGTGACATTGCCAACGAGCTGACTCTCGTGGTGTCTGCTTTGGCATACTTGCCGGCTCGTTACCTGGAGTTGAAGTATTTCGGTCGATAGATTACTTTGGGCAACTGAGCAACATCGGCAACACTGTTGCCTGAGGACCCTTTTCTGCCAGCTTGGCCTTCTCGAGGACATGATTCTTTCACACCAAATTCAAGATAATTAGGTCACGATCTTCAATATGCGAACTAGCATCACTCTTCAGTGTTCATGCCGCCCTAGGTCTGCCAGTGGCATGGTGTTACCCTTCTCTGTGGGGGACGTCCGTGGGGGTCAAATCTCGGGAAGAAGTCCGTGACGGATCCATAGCTGCAGGAGTGACGACCCAATAGCTACCTCTCCTCCGGCATTTCCGGATGGGCGGCTCCAACAATGATGAGGCAAAGTCAAAGAATTCACGGAAAAGGGGCCAGTTGATACAGATGCCTATCGTATCACTTTCACTGCTCATATCATTACAATCTACCCCAGGTATCTTAGCTATCCTAGAACAAGTCCGTAACTGCACCATCCGAAGCGCTAGCCACCAGCTTCGCGTACTTCGCGAGAGTGCCTCTCGTCACGGGAGGCCTGGGCGGCTTCCACAGACGCAATCTCTCCTTGATATCCTCATCGCCCACGTTCATGCTAATCGTACACGTTTCGGCGTCGATGCTGATCATGTCTCCATCCTTGATGGCAGCAATAGGTCCGCCCACTGCTGCCTCGGGAACGATGTGTCCCACGATGAATCCATGGGAAGCGCCAGAATACCTTCCATCCGTGATCAAGGCAACGTTCTTGAGGTTGGCACCAATCAAGGTCGCAGACGCCTTCAGCTGTTCCGGCATGCCAGGGCCGCCCTTAGGGCCTTCGTAGCGGACAACGAGGACGATGTTCCTGTCGCGGGGGATGTTGCCGGCGTTGAGCTCCGTGACGAGCTCGGATTCCTTGTTGAAACAGCGCGCCTCGCCCTCGAAGCGCAGACCCTCCTTGCCGGTGATCTTGGCGACTGCGCCGCCGGGGGCGATGTTGCCGTGCAGCACGACGAGATGGCCAGCGGGCTTGATGGGGTTGGATAGGGGTCTGATAATGTCCTGCTGAGGGGGCAGAGATGGCCAGTCGGCGACGTTCTCCTCGAGCGTCTTGCCGGTGACTGTGAGAGTCTTTCCGTTGAGCAGGCCTCCGGCGATGAGGAGCTTGGTGACTGATGGGACGCCGCCGATGTGGAAGAGATCTTCGATGACGTACTTGCCGCTGGGCTTGAGGTTGGCGATGAAGGGAGTCTTTCGAGAGACGCGCTGAAAGTCTTCGAGGTCGAGGGGGACTTCGGCTGCTCTTGCCATGGCGAGAGTGTGTAGGACGGAGTTGGTGGATCCTCCCAAGGCCATCGTAATGACGAGTGCATTCTCGAAGGACTCCTTGGTGAGAATATCTCTTGGTCGGATGTTGCGGCGCAAGCAGACCTCAATGGCATCGGCAACCTTTTCTGCTTCCCTCATCTTGGTCGGGGACGCCGCGGGAGTACTTGACGAGCCCGTGACGGACAGACCAAGTGTCTCAATGATGGTGGCCAGACTGTTCGCAGTGTACATGCCACCACAAGCACCAGGACCCGGTACGGCGCCCTTCTCGATGGATGACAGAATCTCCTCGGGCGTGACATTCTTGTCATCGGACCAGGAGCCAAGCGTACCGAACAGATAAGCACCCTGAGCCTCATAGCAAGTGACAATGTCGATGGGCTTCTTCAACACCTCGCAGTAGCCACCAGCAACAGTGCCACCGTAGACGATGACTGATGGGCGGTTGTGTCTGGCGACTGCCATGACGCAGCCTGGCATGTTCTTGTCGCATCCCGGGATGGCGACAGTGGCGTCATGAGCTTGTGCGCAAGTGATCGTTTCGATGTTGTCTGCGATGAGCTCTCGCGACTGCAGGGAGAATCTCATGCCCTCGTTGCCCTGGGCAATCCCGTCGGAGACTCCCAGTGTGCTGTACTGCCAGGCGATGTAGCCCTTCTTCTTGATGGCCTCCTTAACTGTCTTTCCCAGGTCCAGGAGATGCATGTTGCATGGGTTGCCCTCCCACCATACTGAAGCAACGCCAACTTGGGGAGCCCGCTGCATCATCTCCTCGTTGGGAACACCGGCAGCGTACAGCATGGCCTGTTGAACACGTTAGTCTGTATCCATGAAGGGATATTTTGACACTTCTTACCTTGGCACCAGGAAAATCATGCTCGCGAGTGAGGAAGGTAGAATACTTGTTGAGAACCGGCTCTCCATTTTCCCAAGTGGCGTCATTCGGGGCAATGGGGAAGTCGACGTATCTTGGCTCATGTTGTCCCTGTTCCTCGCCAGCGGCGGGATGAACCGCACTGAAATTTGAGACCATCCTGTGCCCTTCAGAAGTCTTGGCAAAGTTAAGAAAAGATGGAATGAAGCCAAACAAAAGTGCACCGAACTCGGAGAGCAATCGGGGCCGACGATGTTTTTATAAAAAACACACGCCAATTCACTGCACCGGCCCCAGACCCCATTCACCTGCTAACACAAGTCCACGGTGAACACGGGGGTGCGGGGTAGAAACCAACCGAGCTTCTCACGATACACGGCGTCTCCAATCACATAACAGTGAATACCGGTTCGTGAGGAGAAAACTGGGAATTTTTAATGGAGCCGCGCGACGGGTTGACTGACGACTAATCGAAATAGGCCGGATGCGATTTGTTGGCGCGTTGCCGGTGGAGCAAGCCCATTGCTGACGAGTCTTGTGTTGGGGGAGAACCCCGCACCAGACCCGGAGAACAGTCCGGCACGCCTTGCGGGTTCTGGATCCCGAAGAACGGACTTCTGCCGAGCTGTTTGGAGGTTTCACGGGGAACGTGGGGGAGTGAATAGACGTAAAGCGAACGTAGGCTAGTGAGTTGACGCGGCTGGGATCACGGGTTTTGAAATCCGATGGATGTGATTTGGTGACTGCGAGCTATCCTTTGCTCAAGAGCTAGGATCAGCTTCTCATTTGGCCTTTCTCTCATCATGTTCTCGCGCACTCGGATATCTTGTAAACAATGCGTCTATCATACCGTCTTCTTGGTGATGGGAATGTATCTCATCCACGGATGCTCTTCCCTAAATCCCAACATGGCCTGAATCTTCCTGTTCGACATCGGCGCCTCACGCTCTCCCATCTCCCGCGTGAATGGAGTCGACGGGCTCACGCGGCTCAAGAACGCAGTCGTGTTCTCCGTATTCGTGATCTCGTCGTTGGTGGCATTGAACACCTGCCAGCCCAATCCGTTCCTCTCAAGACCAAGATGACACATCTGCCCGAGGTCTCTCGCGTCTATGTAAGACCATCCGTGGACATCCCAGGCCTCTGGCTGGTTGATGTACCCAGAAAAGCTCTCGGCGTACTTCTCAGGCTCGATGACAGCACCAATGCGAAGACAGTAAATATCCACACCGAAGCGGCTCGCGAAGCTCCTGGCAATCGTCTCTCCCACGATCTTGGAAAGCGCGTAAGGATCTGTAGGGTTGCAATCGGTCTCCTCGTCGATGGGGAATGAGGTGAACTGGCGCCGCTCCTCGGCAAAGGTGACACCGTAGACACAGACGCTGCTCGCCAGGATGACCTTCTCGATGCCCAGTTTGCACGCTGCCTCGACGACGTTGTGGATGCTGTTGACGTTTGTCTTGAAGATCTCATTGTCTGGAGCGAGGAGCGGGCGGGCATAGCCGGCGAAGTGAATGACCGCGTCCGGGATCGAAGATTTCTCTAGGGGCTGGCTGAGTCGGAATTGGGTATGAAGCGCGCTGTAGACCTGACCGGCGTCGCTCACGTCGCATCTCATCGTGTGGACTGCGGGGTTGTCGAGAGGGACGATGTCGAGGTTGATCACATCATGACCGTAGCGGAGGAGTTCCTGAATCACCCAGCGGCCCGCGACGCCGGAGCCGCCGGTGAAGACGACGCGTTTGCCCATGATGGTGTTGATGCTTGAACACAACGAAGGCAGGCCTTTGTTGAATGCTGACGGTCGGCCCTCAAAGCGCCGAGGATAAACAAACGTGTCTGAGACTCCCTTGCATTCCTCGTGGGCCTTACGCGAGAATATCACTTCTTGTGAGAGGACACAGCTGCTCTGTGAGACCCGAAGTTGCACCGAGTCAAGCGGTCCCTGCCACACAGATGATCCCCTCCCCCACTCTGTAGGGCTTTCCCCGCACGGCATTGAAGGGGTCAGGGGTCGTATTGAGTAGGGTCGTCACTCAAGAGATGCCCTAGCCAATCTGGTCTTAACATCTTGGACTGCGTCTTTGGTGGGTGGTGTGAAGTGAACATGATCAACACTTTCGTAAAGACATCGTTCTTTTGTATTCAAGACATCAGGTTTGTGTTTTGGCTTACCACCAGCGCTTTCGAACATGTCGATGAGTGGGTCTCCACAATATTGATCAAAGACTCGCAAAGCCACGAGTCTTGTTCCATGATGTTTTCAAAATACATGCTATAATTGCCCAAACTGTACGATATTTCCAGTAACGCGTCACCAATGACCTCAGGCGCATTGGTAGTAGTAAGGCGTCGACACTCCCTGACAGGTTGACCCAGACTAACAGGCAGTTATCAGCAGCTTTTTCACCAGACCTGGGAGGGACTAAACTTACCGCACAAGTAGTACATCCTGTCCATCCTTGCCCACCGCATTGCGCGTACTTGGCAACCGTACACGACGGCGGACTCCCAGTACCAGGAGAAGTGCCACCGCTACCCCCGCCAGTGATCGGAATCGCCGTCCCAACTGGGCCCTTGCTAGCATCGCAAGTCGAGGCACATCCACTACCGCACCCGGAGCCCGCCGTCTTCGTCGTCCCGATCGAAGCCACAGCACCTCCAGGCACGACATACCCAGACAGCTTGCTGTGAATATTCACCAGAATACCGGGATCACTCGCCTTGTACGCTCCAGGAAAGCTGACGGTCGAAGGTTTGGCCGTGCCAGTACCTCCAGAGATCGAGATCTGATAGCATGTCATGTAGAATTGCGCCCCACCAGAAGACCCAGCAGTATGCAACGCGATAACCTCGGCTCGTAGGAGATAGTCGCCGTCAGCGAGATCCTTGCTGATTGGCACGTCCATCTTGCCGCAGCAGGCGTTGAGATCCTTGACGCCCCAGTTGTCATCGTCGCCGGAGCCCGCGCCGGACTTGGCAGACCAGCCGTTCTCGAAGATCTTGAACCAGGCCGAGGACCCGTCGGCTGAGGCGGCGTTGTCGACTTTGCTGAGGTAGACGATTACGGGGCCGTAGTGGGAGCCGCCGATCGCTTCGTTCTTGCAGTTTCGGTCGCCGGGTTGCTAGATCAGATGCCGGATCAGTCTTAAAGAGATAACTCGGGTAGTTAGGGCGCCATACCGCGTGCATCTCAATGGTGACTGTGCCACCGGCTTTGACGGGGCATTTGGCACTGACACCTTGGGTTCCACCGAAGTTACACCGGATGTCAGACCCCGCGACATTGGTTACTGGGGAATTGCTCGGAGGTACTCTGGCGCATTGCGATCCGTGAACAAGAGTCAGTCAGGCAGGTTTAGGATAGCTGAAGTGAGATTTGGACTTATCATGTCAGCGCCATCAACCCATAATTGTTGAAAGATGGAATGTCCCACGACACCTTGCGCAAGAAGCGCTACTGGCCCGACAGCGATCGACCTCATGATGATAAACTAAGCCGACTTATTGTGAGTACTTTGCAATTATTTTGATCGTCTTCTTTTGCCCAGAGAGACATGTAACCAGCAGATGTTGGACATGTGCTTCTTTATAGGCATTTCATATATGGTTATCATGCAGGCAACGTACCACTGCATTCCTTGAGTATGGGGTTTGAGTGGCAATCTCTCGGATTGAGGAGCAAGCCGTCCAGGGTCAGCTTTGCCTTATGAATTATCGGTCCTTCTGCATCAGGATGTAGGGTTACAGCGGGCAGGCGTTGCCGACAGCCATCACGGCACATCTCTCGACAGATTTTAGGAACCGTCAAATGGTAGCGTTTAGATTGGGAGAGAAAATACGGTACACTAATATAGTTATTGAATGTGTCCTTTTCTGGTTGAGAAGCCTTGGCAATATGTCCGGTTGAAATAGCCTGTAGACCGGCAGAAGTCGCCGGCGAGGTAAGTTCCGGATGGAACCAAAGCAATGGGTACCGGCAGATATTCGTTTTCTGTATAGAGGGCTAATAGTACTGCGTTGAAATAAGTCACCTGCTACCTAAACTTGCGACAATTATCAAATGTCCCGACTTGTGGTTCAGCACGACGAGCATCGAGAAATAAAACAACCCATGAATTCATTAAATCTATCTAACATGATGTGACGTTGTAAGCATTAAGACATAATCTCTGCCAAGGCCTGATTCCCGACATGTCATGATATGATAAGTCTGTGTAGATCTGCGTCATCACGCGTGAGCGTGTCTCATGCGAAAAGCAGACATCCTACCAACACCGTAAAGAACAACACACCGCCCCCTGATTAATTGGAGTGGGGACGCTGCAAATATCTCAAGATCTCCGGGTCTTGACTAGGAGGGCACTTCTTGCCATCAATCCCGATGGACGTAAGCAAGATCGGGTCTTCTTTCGGGGTCCCAGGGTGGACTTCAAAGCCATAGGATAGCTCCACCTTGGCGCACCGCGCGTTCTCAATGAGCTGCGGGACATCGATCTCGTTGTCACCTGTTCCAGCCCGGGCCGCGCGCGCCAAGGCCTCTCTCTGAGCGGCAGAGATGCTGGAAACGCGACCGGCGAGTCCGCCCCCGGGCGGTGGTGTCGTGCTACCCCATTCGTAGTTCATTGGTCGCAGGAGTGCGGCGCCGGTCTGTAGGACCCAACTCTCCATCGCTCCCAGGTTTTCGGCTTCCTCTTCGGCCTTCTTCCGCCATCTGGATGGTAGGAGCTTGGACATGACGTAGAGAGTGCTAATGAAGGCTCTTTTGATCATCTGGAAGAAAGCATACACCCACTCATCAGGTATCTGGCGGATAATTGCTCCGAGGGGGATGACCAGTACGCCGAACAGCATGGACCAACCCCATTGCGGGCCGTCGAGAGGGCGGGTGTCGAAGGCCTGACCACCCTTCCAGATGATGATCATCTGACCTGCGAGAGTGGCGCACTGAACGCCTATGAACCACGGGTTGCGAAGGACGCCTTGGTACCAGATGTTAAGTCGGTTGTCAACACGCCGGCAGTTGTGCTGATTGAAGAACTGCATGAACACGTAGATGTTGAAGACCATTGTTTGGAAGGATCGCACTTGGTTTTGGTCGCTGGTGTCGATCCCCCAGAGAGACTCGCCGGCGTAGTGCAGCGTGAACATCACGGCGAGCTGGTAGACGGCCTGGCACAGAATCATCTTCCACATGGTAATGGTAACGATGGGCGCCTTACGGGGCTCTGGGCGCTGCCGAACGAAGTCGTGCGAAGGGTAGTCGGTAGCTAATCCAAGTGACGCGAAGATGTCCATGATGAGGTTGATCCAGAGAAGCTGGACGATGGTGAAGAGGGAGTCACCAACCAGCTCTGAGGCGACAGTGAGAGTACCGGCAGTGATGTTGATAGTGAATTGGAACTGTGCGCTTTGTTAGCAACGGCCCTGTATCTTTCGCAGTATTTGGTGTCACTCACCTGCAGGAACTTCTTCACTGCGATGTTCACCGTTCGGCCCCAGATCAAGGCTTTGACGATGGACGCAAAGTTATCATCAAGCAGGATGATGGATGCAGCCTCCTTGGACACCTCCGTGCCCTGGATTCCCATAGCGAAGCCCACATCGGCCGCCTTGAGGGCCAACGCGTCGTTGGTCCCATCCCCGGTGACGGCGACAGTCTCACCCATTCCCTTCAGGTGTGTGACTAAAAGCAGCTTGTCTTCCGGGCTAGATCGAGCCAGAACCTGAAGGCGGGGGATGACCAAGTCCAATTGAGCAGGGGTCAGTTTTCGGAACGTCGGTCCGTCCATAGCCAGACCTCCCGGACTGTAGATCCCGCACTCTTTCGCGATGGCTTTCGCCGTCAGGAAGTTGTCGCCGGTGACCATGCGGACGAACACGCCTGCCTCTTGACACTGGCGTACAGAGTCGGGGACTTCCGGTCGCAGAGGGTCGCGAATGCCAAACACTCCGACAAACGTCATATCGCTGAAGTGCTTCTCGAACTTGATCGAGTCGGGGTCATCAGGGTTCTCGAATGCTTCGGCGGCATCCACGTCTTTGTAGGCGACGACAATGGGCCGCAGCATCTGCGAGGCGTAGTCTCGGATCGTAGAACGCATGTCTTCGCGGGCGTCGGCGGTGATGACTTGGACAGCGAGTCCTGTCTTGGGGTTCTTGAGGATGAAGGAGCACTGATCGAAGACCACTTCAGCCGCGCCCTTGACGAGCAGCCTGTACTTCCCTTCGGACACCTTGGTCATGACCGCCATCCATTTGCGCGAGGCATCGAAGGGGAACATGTCGGCGACCTCGTTGTTCGCTCGCTCTGCATTCAGAAGGCCCATGGCCAGGAAGTCACGGCCGAATCTAAGCAAGGCCGTCTCGGTGCTTGTGCCGACGAAGCCGGGGTCTTTCGGGTCATCGCTCTCGAACGCGGTCGAGTTGAGGGAGACACTATTCTTCATCAACGTTTTCACATCGTCGCTGAGCGAGTCCAGAAGCCCTCGAGGGTTGTCGTCACTGGCCCCAGAATCGCTCACAGCACCCTTATCAGCTTCTTCTGTCGTGGTTGACGGCACTTTCGCGATGTCACCGAAGCGCTCAGAGGTACCTATGCGGCCGGCAACGACAGTCATGTTGTTCTGGGTCAACGTGCCCGTCTTGTCAGAGCAGATACACGTCGCATTGCCCATAATCTCACACGAACGAATGAGGCGGACCAGGTTCTTATCCTTCAGCATTCTGGTGGTGGCAAAAGCAAGGGCAAGCGTCACCGCAAGAGCAAGACCTTCCGGCACGGTAATCACGACAACAGTGACGGCAAGGATGAGCAGCTTGAAGAAAGTCTCGGCCTTCTCCGAAGAGCTACCTGACATCGATCGAAGTCCAACCAGGAAGCGAATGAAGAGGATGAGGAAGAAGATGATACCGGCGATGGCGCCAAAGGTAATGAGCTGCTTGGCGAGCTTACCCAACTTCTGCTGTAACGGAGTTTCATCCACGTCTTCTCTCAACGACATCAGAGTCCTACCGTAGGTCGAATTGGTGCCAACAGAGGTGACCAAGTACGCGCCGACACCACCAGACACCGTTGTGCCGCTGAGGATGAATGGGTCAGTCGCCGATGATCTGTGAGCCTTTTTGTTCCGAATGTCGCTTTCGCTAGGGACGTTCTTGTGCACCAGTTCCGACTCGCCAGAGATGGTCGACTCGTCGATCTGAATACCAGAGCCTTGGACCAGGACACCATCAACAGCGACAACATCACCAGTCTCTATGTGCATGATGTCCCCCACCAACACCTCGTATACCGATAGGTTTTGAGTCTTGCCTGATCGAATGACCTTGACGTCTCGTTGTTCCTTTCTCTCGTTGAGCTTCGCGAACCTGTGGTTCTTCTGCCAGTCCGTGGCTGCACTGGCGAAGACGATGACAAAGATGGCGACGACCACAGTCACGCCGTCGACCCATTGGATCTTATTCTCGCTCTCCGCTGCATCAACCGACTCATAGATACCGAGGGCTAATGAAATCGTGGCCGATAGTGTGAGGAGGAACATGAGCTTGTCATTGAACGCGATCCATGCTAACCTCATGAATGATTTTTGCTTCCGCTTTGGCAGCCGGTTCTCGCCAAATATGCGTCTGCGGTCGGTGAAGCCCTTCTCTTCATGTTGGCCAATGTCCAGATCGATCTTGAAACCATGTTCGTGTGTTGGAGCCGTCGGCAGGGGAGTGATTTCGGCAGATCGGTGAGCCTCGCCGGCGGCTACTGCCTCTTGAAAGGATATCGCTCCATCGAGATCGGTCTCGTCGACACTGAGGCCAGCGGCGAGATCTGTCCGGAGACCTGCGGCCAATCCAGGGAGACCTCCGAACGCGCGGAGCGCTGATAGGCTTCGGGCGGTGATCAGCTTATGCAGCTGCGTCGGCGTGAACGCAAACTTGTTGTTTTGGATGTTGGAATCATCGCGGAGGTCAAGATCTTTCTCGTCGTCGCCCATTTGTTGTTTTGAAAAGCGGTAGTTGTACGAGCTTGACCCAGCTGGGCCGGAGTCCTGCTGTCTTGGTGCAGCAGTGATCTCGTCGGTCATCGTACGTGTGGCTGCCCAGAGAAATTCGAACCGGCCGTGGAGTGTCGGTGAAAGTCAAAACTGGCAAGAATTGACGACAAGAAAAGACAGAACAGCCTTAGAGCGGGACCACCTCCCTCGAAGCCGGGGGTGCCATTTGGTAATATGTTCTGGTCATTCCATCGCCAAGGGAAACAGAGCTGCAGGTTGGGGAACACCAAGACGGATCTCAAGAGCCGCGTCATTGCATCTTGGCGAATCTCACTGCGGTGCCGAGAGAAGGTCCAAGGCTTCTCGGCACGCTATGGCTGGCTCAATTATGTACGGCTCTGGGGGCCGAATGGGTTGCACAAGCCTTATGGTCTGGGGACCGGTGGGGGTGCTGAGAGGGACCGGACCCTCATTGAGGGCAAACAGTGAGACTCGGCGTTACGACATTCTTGTGGCACGTGGCCATCGGGCGTTCCGGTTGCGTTTGCTCCATCATGTTGTTCCGGTCACCGGGCGAGGCGGAGATCCATGCTTCCTGAAAGTTCATCGCCTCCGTGGCCGTTCGCGGTGGTCGTCGGGGCCTCAAACGCCGTGTTTTCGGTGTCGGCGTGGCTGTGTTTTCCTCGGAGGATGAAGGAGCTGTGGATATCGCCAGGGGGCAACTTTCTGCTCGTTCAAGCGCGAAGTGGGAAGCCTCAATTTGGCCTTGGCGCGGTGCCGCGGCTAACCGGCAGGGAAGCCCCTTGGCGGGATCCGTCTCCAGAGACCTCGCTTCGACCCCTGACATCATTTGCTTCGGAGTTATTTATGTAAGGAGGTGGCTATATCTGATGCCAAGCGGAGACGCACTGACTCAATCAGGAGCTGTGATCTGCAACTTGCGACTGATTTTGTGCAGCATTTTGGCTGATCCCAATTGAATGATGGGTCAACGGTCAACGATGAACCTACTTCAAAGACTTGAAGACGACCGCTGTCCTGGAGAGAACACGCGCAACTTCGGTTCAGTTTCTTGAACCAACGGTCGGACTTTTGAATGACAGCCGACTGCGCAGCAGTCACGGACATACCGACGTCCTCCCTCAGCTTGGAGTGAAACTCATAGTCCCTCGCAGGTTTCAATAACCAACGATTGATGCGAAGATGGCGCAGAGGTTCTAATCCGGGCTATTCCGTCCAATCTAAAGAAGAACAGTTGCAGAAATAAGGTTAGCCTTGATGAAAAGGGCGCAAGGCGACGTCAGCAAGTCAACACTGAGTGATCAACATGCCAAGACTCCCCTATGCTGTCTTCGGTCTTTCGCGTTGGTCATATCCACAAGTCGCGGCAGCCGAGTTAAAGAGACAGTCGGAGCGACAAAGCCATTGTCTTGTTAGACTCTACTTTGAATTGATGGAAGTGCGAGCATGCGAGTTGCTCGTTCTGCATATGGACTTTCGGCATGTCGGAACTACTCTCTTTACTATATTGTGATTGCGATCGAACGGCAAATGACGGGGTGCTTGTCAAATAAACTTTATCACCGCCTCCGTGTTGCAAGGCACTTGAGTCGTAACGCATTAATAGCCGCATTGCCGCGCCCGTCATCCGCCTGACACACCATCACGAACCCCCAAGAATATTTAAAGGCCATCGCTGCCTGTATCATGGTGGTTCATCTCATCTCCAACAATTCTATCATTGAACCTACAGTCTAATCAACTACCCACCTAATTCACTCTTTCAACCACCGTCATAATGAGGACCTCTTCCATCGTCCTCTACGCCGTCGCCGCCCTCGCTGGTCTGTCCGAGGCCAAGCGTGGTTGCAGACACGACACGGCCAACCCCGGAATGGGCTGGTACTACATCGTCAGCGGAGACACCCTCAACGACATCGCGGCGGACTTCAGCACCACCGCTGCCCACCTTGCCGAGCTCAACGGCATTGCCAACCCCGACTCCATCCCCGCCGACAAGACCATTGTCGTCCCCTGCGCCTAAATTCATTCCCGTTGAACCAGAAATCGAATCGATTTAGATGAGGTCGGAAGTACATCTTGTAGCAATGGGATGCGTTGGCTATTGGACGTAGGCCCGTGATACTATTGGACAATATCACAGCCATCTGTCGCCCAGATCCTATTTGTTGTAGAAGCATAATACCCTCTAACAATACAATATTTCTACTCCTTACATGTCCTACAAGACTGTCGGTGACAAGGACACATCTTGCGTTATGGAGGGTGACTGTCGAAGGCGATTCTACAAGTCAACCATTCGGATTGCTCCGATCGGGTACTTGTGCATAATCAAAGGTGGCTTCCTTACGACAGCCATTCAATTGTTATTGGGATAATTTTATGTTAACATTCTGACACTCGTGCAGTAATGTTAACAGAGTTCCTTCCGAAATCAGGACAACTAAATATTGACGCTCAAAGTCGCCCACAGTGACAGAAAAACAGCATTCTACGTCCAAATGCTACGGCCGCCCACCCCCTATTCATAAATGAAGCATAATTAAGGTTGATTGCGAAAGTAATACCAAGCAGTTCGCCATGGTGACTAATTGAGCTTGAATGAGCCACGGCACAACCCCTGAGACGTCATGATACCTCGCGGATCAACGGCTTTCTGAATCCTCTGAAGACGCAACTTGTTCGTCTCCCCATACCCAGAAAATGGATCTTGGTCATGCTTCGCATAGTTGATGTACAGCCATGGATGCAAAAGATTCATTTCGGATGCCCGCTGCTTGGACCGCGTCAGCCACCTGTCAGCGTAGGCATTCATCGCCTCGTCGTCTTCGCGATCTCGCCAGCCCAGAGTGAATAGAGCGACTGTCATTGTTAGGGATCTTTCAATGTTTTTGGAAGCGGACTTACTATTCAATGGTTCGTCGGACTCAGTCCCCAATGCGTTTCCGCCACGTACTTTCATCGCCTTGATGGCGTTGATGTGCAGCGCCTGAAGTACGATTGAAGACGCAAATCCCGGCGTATCCTTGACGGCCCCGGCCTCTTCCGCAAATATGTCTTGTACTTGTTCATACAGCTCTCGGGATGGACGGAAGGTGACGGTGGCGTACAATCGTCTAAGTTTGTGTCAGCATATGAGATGATTAGATTAGCAATGTGTGGTTCGCAAAGCTCATTACCTCAGTACACGAGGGCCAACGTTTTCCAGAGCAAAATTGCTCATCCAGTCCACACGCACGTTACTAGATTCAAACGGTATTCGATTCAGGCTATCGAACACAGGTGGTTCCAGGATCGGCTCATAGTACGCCTGTGTAACAGACATACGGAAGCGGCTTTCTTTAGAGTCCCAGAAATAGCGAGTCGAGAAACACATGGAGGTGTCACTAGCTTTCGTCGTAGTAAGATCAAAGACTTGGTCGAGTAATGAATTGGTGTAGTTGGCATGAAAAGTCTTGTCACCCGATAACAGCTGTCCCTGGGATACGAGTCGAGAACGGAAATTGGTGACAATGCCGAAGTTGTTACCGCCTCCGCGTAGCGCGAAGTATAAGTCTGGGTTCACCGTCTCGCTGGCGTTGACGATGGTAGAATTGGGCAGCACAACCTGGATACGTTAGTAATAATATTCATCATTGAACATGAGTTTAGCTTGGCCCTTTTCACTGACCTGATACTCGTAGACGTTGTCTACCGCCAGGCCATACTGCGGGGACAGGTTCGAAATTCCTCCCCCCAAAGTGTAGCCGGGCACACCAACATCGGCGACTCGGCCCGCAACGCTTGACAATTCGTGCTGCTCCAACACCGTGTACGCCTCTCCCAAAACTAATCCGGGGCCTAGATTGGCCCAGGATCTGTCATCTGCCAGCTCAGTGTGGTCCATTCGGTTCAAGTCAATCGTTACCCCGCCAACGGAGTTAGAAGCGTCAACATTTGTCGAATGACCGCCTCCCTTGACGGCGAACCGACACCAGTTGTCGACAATAACCTCAAGGGCCCTTGCAACTTCACTGGCAGACGTGGGCTCTATGCGACAAGCTGGAATGACTTCTTGCTGCTTCGCGTCCCAGACTGAAAAGTCGGGGTCATTTCCGCCCATGTGGACTGCTGAACCAAACTCCAAGCTCAATTGGCGACACTGTTGCAAGGTTATTTTCTTTGGAAATTGCACTAAAATCAAACCACTTACTGCTTGCTCACAGCTGGAACTGGAAAGACTGATTTCATTGTTCCTCTGAATCTGGTGAGACAGAAAAGCGGGCAAGAAAGAACTGCCCAGCATGGCTACAGTGTGTCCTCAAATACGAGGCACAGGAAAAGGTGAGATGCTGGTGTGGCCTGATAAAATTTGGGGTAAAGAAAAGGAATGTTGGTATTTATGTGCGCGACCTCCAGCATCGATTGCAACCTGATTTCATAAGCGCCGTGAAGCCAGAAGACGGGCGTCTGTCGGCCTAAGAAGAGTCCGCTATCTTTTACCTTGCTCGACTGCAGATGATGCCAACCAGAAGACTTGTTGATACGTGGGCAAGGCAATTGAACTATCGTAAGGTCTCTAAGGGAATCAGCACATCTGGGCACCTGTCTCAGCGGCAAATGCATTCACTGACGTCAATCTTATCGGGTTGAGGTACCCTGGCAGCCACACGCTGGGGATCCACTGTCAGCTGGGTTCGTGTCTAACTCCGAGATCTCCATGGCAGTAGCATCCGGCCCCGCATGTCAGCATGCTACAGATGATCACCCTGCACTACTCCCATCTCACTGCGATTTGTATCAACTTCCCCTGGATGATCAGCTCAAGTCATTGAAAGAGCATGCCGGTCTGTTCAGCGGAGGAGAACGGTTCAAAAAGCCAAATTTCCATGTGGGGCTGTTGCGAGCGCCCCTTTACTGTAGCCAGTAAAAAGCAAAACAGCATCATCCACTTGACGGTTGGGAGATTTCTTTGGGATGCCGTCAATGAACCCAAAGTCCGAGTATTTGGTCATGGACCTGTTTTCCTTTCTTTCTACACAACCTTCTACACGAACCAGTAGACTTCACAACTTCAATTGCCTCGACCATCAGGCAAGAAGTTCGCCTCTCGAAGACGATCAAAAGTCAAAGTGTAGCCTTTCCCAGGCTCCTATGTCTCACAAGCCCGATCTCTCGAGACGCCATGAGATCAAAGTCAATCCGGATGGGCGTGGCCAGGGTTGTCGCGAGTATGTCCCATTGGACATCATCCATGGCACTCGGTTGAAGACCATGTGCTGCAACCCAGACTGGCCATGAGTCTTTCTGAGCCATCAACCATTCAATGCCATAGGCTTGGTCTGTGGCCCGCTCTTGCGGCCCAACCCCTTCAAGACCAAAGTAGTTGCACACCAGTGGCCATTTCATCTGCCATGACACCGGCTCACCATCTCCAACACTGAGGGCGCGCCCGTTGGTGCCTTCTGGGTGGAGAGAGACGTGAATATGAAAACGAGCAACTACATCCTTGAAAGAATCAGTGTGCAGTGCGACCCAAGACTCTTGGCTTCCTGGGAACGGGCATATCGCCCGGTCGCCTTTGGCGGACCGATAGAAGGAAAGATACAATCCTAGCGACTGCGCAACGTTCATGGCATTGAATTGTGGGACAAAACCAGGCTTTCAACAGGGCTTGTCAATCGACCAGATCGATAGAAGGCGGCTAGGGATCTGTTTCGGAAACTTACTAGAAATGATGGCCTGATCTCGAGCCATTCCCACGAACTAGCTGCAGCATGTCTTGCCACCACATCGTGCTGCGTGTAGTAGAAGATCTTTGACGCATACGGTTCCAGCATGCGGGGCAGTGTTTCTTTCCATGGTGCGGGAGGCCATCCATGCCTGACCATGCCATAGCCCTGATGAAGGTACAGTCAGAAAAGGTCTTATGCACTTTTTCGATGGGAATTATCTCTACCTTGCCACCTGTCTGCAGGGAAACGAAACTGATGTTTGGGCAGAGGACATTGACAGCCTTCAAAGCGTTGTCGACGATTACCGAGTTAACGTCCACCAGATTCTCTGGAGTGGTGCCATGACCCGTGTAAGCTGGAAAGTTGTTACTTTCTGAAGAGTGCGGCAGAGTTGTGAATGCTCGAATGATACAAACTCACTGACAAAGTAGACATGTGTGACGGCTGCAACGTCCGCAATGACTGCGAGTCTTCGAAGGGCTAACTCTGTATTGGTAAGATCCAGTCCGGTGTGCATTTCCAATCTTGGGTCTTCCGGCAACCGGGCTATCTCTTTAGCCAAAGGTCGTTTACACAAGCCAATGACTCGCATGAACACCTTAGTGGATGGGTAGTTGAGACATTCGCGCATCAAAGCCCAACCGGACTGAAAGATGAGTCAATAGCGTCAGCCGAAAACAGATTTACCACGTAGCCAGAAACACTTACAATGCCGGAAGCCCCGAATACTAAAGCAACATTGCCCGTGGTCTTTTTGAATTCCATCGGGGCTCTTTGTTCGTCACTGCGGTAGTGTTGTGTCAACCCGAAGCTGTTCAATGTCATTAGGAATCATCCCCTTTTATAGATGGCATTCTTAGATGAGAAGGTGACCAACTGTAACGCCTCGACGATTATTGAAGTTTTCTTGAGCTTGTTAATATTATTGCTACACAAATGACTGCTACCGTCTCGTATCTCTATGTTGGCATGGATGTTCGCTTTCGCTTTCGGGGCCCCTCAAGGATGCCGAAGCACCAACTTCCCCACGTCAAACACTCCTAGCGTTCTGAGAGCTTACAAATGGCCCTTTTTGGTCCGCCCGGCGGAGGAATCAGCCACATGGCAACGAAGCATGCGCATACATATTGAGTGAGTGTTCTATTTGGAGAACCTTGGAAGCTCTCAGCTTAGGGGGAATCGCAACTGCATCAGGCACCAACCAGAGCCCAAGTAACCCATCCATCTTCGTCAAAAGACTTACACGAAATGTCAGTGCGAGCAGTTTGTATGAGCTTTGGATGTTCCTAATGTTGTCTTCCAGCAATCACAATGTCCCTCGAGGATCTCGGCGAGAGGATTGTCCTCGCATCGGTCACAGAAATCATCCAAGCCCCAGCCAATGAGATATGGCCGTTTTTGTCAGCAATCGGAGCTGAGAGAATTCTGATACCGGGCTGCACCCGATCAGCAGTGTTGGAGAGTTACGGAGAGGTCGCTATTCGGCGTGTGCACTTTGGCGAAACCTTCTTCAATGAGCGCATACTCGTTTGTGACCATGCTTCGTACAAGTTGAAGTATGAAGTGCTTCAACCGAATCCAAGTCCTGCGAAGGGTGTGCTTGCGGCGGTTCAACTGCACGACATTGGGGAAAAGGAGACCAAAGTCACATGGGTATCAGGAGCTACGGAGCTTCCATCAGAGCATGAAACGAGCATCAAGGATCAAGCTGGAGGATTCTGTCGAGGGCAAATTGCATCCTTACGAAAACTGAGCCAGGCTACAACCTCTTCTTTCTAGAAGGCCTTCCGATTTTCCACATTGCGAGTCCATGATCCAAAGACTACCAGATGTTGATTGAATAATCTCAGTCGTAGCCATAGACACTGGCTACAGTGATCATAAATTTCAAAGCTCCGCAACAACTACAATTCCAATGGTTACATCTTCGAAGAGGTAGCCTGTTTGTTATTGCTGTAGACTTTGAAGTGACGAAGACAGCTTAGAAATTTAAAGCCTCTTTCGCGACCGATGCTGAGATGGGTGTGAAGCGGTATAGTCAACTGCATTTGGAAACCGTGTAGAGACACCCTTTGTAGCCTGGTGGTGGTCGTGATGATGGGTCTCTGGTTTGGTTTGGTGTGGTCTTGATCACCATTTGCTTGGCCCCGTCATTTTGGAACAAGTCTATTGCATCGGCACTCTATCTACGCTTCTATGCAGTTTCGTTGATGATCGTATGGCTGTCAGAACTGCGAAAAGCTCTTGTACCTCAATGCCATAAATCAAGCTCCGATCAATCTTTCCACCAAAGCCATCTGACATGGCCGCGCAAGATACTTGCATCGTTAATCAGTGGGGCATCCAGAGGGGCACTTGGATAGTGATTAGCTTGGATCTCAATTCATTCTATGAACCCGGTTAACTTACGCATGACGCCTGGCATTCGCCAGGGATATATGAACAGCAGCTGGGTTGAGAGGGGGTGTCGCCGCCCTTAGGGCGGCCAACGAGCTTCAGGTGCTCTAGGGCATTGGACTGCCTGATGGCCGGGTTGCAGCGCTGCCGCAAGTGCAATCAAGTCAATTTTGCCCCCTATACTTTTTAACTTAGTGATCTTTTTCCTAGGCTTTAATTATTAGCTAACTTATAAGTATAATAAGTTAAATACTATAATAAATAATATTATCCTTATTTTCTAATTAAGTAATAAATAAATAAAGTTATAATACCTTTAGTAGTTTAAAATAATTCTAAAGTATTATTATTTCCTTTTTTAGCTAGTTTTCATTTGGTTAGAAAGTCTTTATAATATTTAGTATTATTAAAAGCTTTTATAATAGAAAGCTTAACTTAGTAATATTAAAAGCTTTTTTATACTTACCTATTATTATTAGTGTAGTAAAAATATTAATCATAAGTTAAAAGAGCTTTAAAAAGGTTTCTATATAATCTATTTACTATTATATTAAGTTAGAAGTAGGTTTTAAAAACTAATAAAAATAGAGATTAAGTTTATTTATGTAAAGTACTAGCTATTAACTTATTATTAATAATAAATATTCACTATATCTTTAATATTGCGATTAATAGAAAATATATTAGTTTACTAGCTTAATAATAAAATCTTATTAAATTAATAATATTATTAGTTAAAATACTTTATAAGAATATTTAAAACTTTTTTAATTTATCCTTTTTAATAATCTTGACCCTATATATCTCTTAAGTATAAAATATTATATAATAAATATAAAATAATTATACTAAGAAATAATAATAACTTTTTAAAAAGTTAATGATAATTAAAAAGCTTCTATTATACTTATTTAATATTATTATAGAGAAAAATCTATTACTTTTTATTAAAAGTTTTAGATTATAAAATGAATTATAAAACTAGTAGTATTTAGTTTTTCTATATATAAATAAATAAAACTTAAATGTTTTATTAATAATATTAAGTCTAGCTAATATATTTTTAAAATAGCTATAATAATTAGAAAACATTTTTATTACTATTATTAATTTTAAAATTAATATTAATTTTATAATATATCTTCTAATTAACAAGATATAAGAGAAAACATTTAATACTTATAAAAGCTTTACTATATTAGAAGAAGTTTTAAAACTAGTTTTAAATAGAGCTCTAGTTTTATAAAACTTAATTAATAACCTCTATGTTATAATACTAAAAGATCTACTAGAGGAAGATATTCTTAAAATAATTAAATAGTAGATTAATAAAAATAATAGAAGTAACATAGAGGTTTTTAAAAGTTATAATCTTAGTTTTTAAAATATTAATAACGTAAATGATAAGCAAGCCGAACAGACAAGCGAGCCGAACACCTAACTGCAACCACAGCATCTTCTTACTTCTACTATACGTCAATCCCACAATAACAATAGCATCAACACAAAAAGAAGCTTAAGTGGTCCTAGCAGTCCAAGCTATCAAAAACACACCAAGTCTCAGTATCCGAGAGGCTGCCCGGATCTACTCAGTCCTAGTTACAACGTTATACGATCGATTGAAGGGAAGATCATCACGACGCGACACCACGCCTAACTCGCGGAAATTAACTACGCTCGAAGAAGAAAAGCTTGTTGAGTATATTCTCGACCTGGATTCCCGATCGTTTCCTCCTCGGATTGGTGGTGTTGAAGATATGGCTAATCGTCTGCTTGCCGACCGCGACGCGCCCCCAGTTGGGAAGCGCTAGGCTTCGAACTTCATTAAGCGACAACCACAGCTCTGGACGCGCTTTTTTCGCAAGTACGACTATAAGAGGGCCTAATGCGAAGATTCAGATGGAATAAACGCATGGTTTCGCCTTGTGGCGAACATAATCGCGAAATATAGTATTATGGACTCTGATATCTATAACTTTGATGAGACTGGGTTTATAATAGGCCAGATTACATCCAGAATAGTCGTCATAAGTGCCGAAAGGCGTTTAAATATGAAACTGATGCAGCCTGGTAATCGTGAATAGGTTACAGTCATTCAGGCTATCAGTTCGTCAGGCTACAGCGTTCCGCTATATATCATCGTTGCAGGCTAATATCACCTCTCCACCTGGTATACTGAAACCAATCTACTATGCAACTGGGTTATTACAACGTCTGAAAACGGATAGACAACAAATAAAAGAGGCCTAGATTAGCTCCAGCACTTTGATTTGCATATAAAGCTGCGTGCAACTGGTAATTATCGCCTCCTTATCGTCGATAGGTATGAAAGTCACTATGCTGCTGACTTTGAGATATATTGCAAGGAAAACAATATCGTCACACTCTGTATGCCAGCCTATTCCTCTCACCTACTTCAGCCCTTAGATATTAGATGTTTTAGGCTACTGAAGAAGGCTTATAGTCGACAAATTGAGGATAAGATGCGCTAGGGTAATATGTATATTACAAAGGAAGACTTCTTCCCTACGTTTCGCAAGGCCTTCGCACAGGCTCTTACAGAGAAAAACATACAGGGAGGTTTTAGAGGGGCTGGCCTTATCCCTCTGAGTGCTGAAAGTGTGATTTCGAAGCTTGATGTCAAGTTACACACTCCAACACCTCCAGGGTCGCTCCCAACAACACCCCCCGCGTGGACTTCTCAGACGCTAAACAACCCAACAGAAGCATCTTCTCAGTCTGAACTCATCAAAAGGAGGATCTCCCACCATCAGAATAGCTCACCAACTTCAATTATTGAAGCTGTTGAGCATTTATCAAAGGGAGCGCGAGGATTTATGCACCAGATTGCCTTATTAAGGTCGGAGGTCCAGATCCTACGAGAGGAGAATAACCTGCTTAGCCGACGCTGGAGGGCTAAGAAAACCCGTCTCAAATAAGGCGGAAGTCTTACTATAGCTGAGGCAGAGGACCTTCAATCACAGAGAGAGGCGACAGCCCAGATTGAGGAGGAAACGCGCCGGAGTAGTGGTCGCCGACGGAGGACTGAGACGGGCCAACGGCGGTGTGGCGTCTGTGGGAACACCGGTCATAATGCGCAAACATGTCAATTTGTTGAAGAAACGTCTAATAAAGAGGTTTCTGAGTAGTTTTAATTGATTTATAGTTCTTGTGGTTATTTGATGATTATATTTATGATGTGGTTGCGGTTGGTTGTTCGGCTCGCTTGTCTGTTCAGCTCGCTTATCATTTATGTTATTAATAAAATAAAATCTTTTATATAAAGATAATATTAATCTAAGAAGTCAAAAGGTAAAAATAATATTATTAGAGGGTTTATTTAATTAAAAAAAGATCTTATAGATATT